AGCTGGTAACTTCATGAAAAGCAGTTTTGAACTGGTGAGATATTTTCTTGAAACTTGAAGCCTAGAAACAGGTTAGTATTTTGTTCAAATAGTAGGTACATGAATCTATTGACAGCTCAAGACAGGACAAAAACCCTTAAAACAGGACTACAAAGCTTAGAAGAAAAGCAGCAATATCTTAGTCAAGTCACACAATGCTGTTTCATCAGTTCAGACTCATGTACTTAATCTTTCTTCTGTTTCTGTTGAGGTACGATCTTCCAGATTGAACTCTGGGATATAATACTCAACTCCAGCTTTTGGCCCTACAATTAAGTTGCCCATTTTCTTAGTTTCTGAACTCTTATTTCTGTGTGTCTGCATTTAATTTTACTGACATAGCACTCCCTTAAGAACTTCTTGGAGATCTGGTCTGGTGCTGGTAAATTCTTTCAGGTTTTGTTTATCTGGGAATGTTCGTGTCTTTTCTTCCCAAATGAACAATAATCTTGCTGGGTATAGTATTCTAGGTTGAAATTGCTCTTCCATTAACACTTTGAATATATTTTCCCATTCTTTCCTCGCTCGCATTGTTTCCGATGAGAGGTCTGCCGTTTGTCTGATGGGATATCCTTTGTAAGTAATTTGCCGTTTTTCTCTTGCCAATCTTAGTATCTTGTCTTTGTCTGTGGTTTTGGTCAATCTGGCTATAATGTGTCTTGGAGAAGATCTTCTTGGGTTGATTCTATTTGGGGTCCTCTGTATTTCTTGGGACTGAATCTTTGAGTGCCTTTTGAGAGGTTTTTATAGAGCATGTGCACGAGACAGAGGGACAGAGACAGAGAGTGAGAAATCACCCCCAGGGGGGGATGGCCACCGCGCAATCCCTTCTCCACCATTCTCCTCTCAGGATCTTGGGCACACACGCACATGCGCCCGGCATGAGTTTAAGCCACAAGATCTGGGACTCGAACCGCGGTCAACTACATGAGAGTCCAGCGACATAGCCATTATGCTAACTGCTGGTCCCTTAACTTATATATTCTCAAAGTAGTCTTCAGGAAGAGTTGCTTTAAGTATGAATTCAAGTGTTCTTTAAAAGTTTTAAGGGAGAGAATGATATAACAAATACGAAAAATGGTAATATTTTAAAAATCTGAGTGAAGAGTACATAGGAATTCTTTGCATTCTTTCTAACTTTTCTGTAAGTCTAAAGTTATTTCAGGGAACCAGCAGTTAGTGTAATGGCTATGTCACTGGACTCCTACGTAGTCGACCGCGGTTCGCGTCCCGGACCCAGTGGCTTTAAACTCATGGCGGGCGCCTGGAAGTGTCAAAATCCCGAGAGGAGAATGGAGAAGAAGGGATTACGGCACGACCATCCCCCTGGGGATGATTTCTCATTTTCTGTCTCTATGTCTCTCTCTGTCTGGCGAGCGCACGCGCCCTATAACGAAAACCTCTCAAAATAAATAAATAAATAAATAAAGTTATTTCAAAATAAGTTACTCTAAAATGCAGAAAAACACTCATGTATTAACTGCTTAAGCTGAGAAATGGAAAATTACCTCAGAAACCCCCAATCACATTCCATTTTTTCCCTCAAAGCCAAATTAACCATTAACTCAATATAGTATTAATTATTGCCTTACTTTTCTGGGTTTTTTTATTTAGTTTTTAAAAAATTATTTACTTAATTCAATTTGTTATTATTATTTTTTAATCTGACCAGAGACAGAGTGAGAAAGGGAAAGAAATGGAAAGAGAGAAAGCAAGCCACCAAGTCCAGCACTCAAACCACGGTTGGCCATGTGGTAATCCAGTGCCTTTAACCACCACACCACCTGCCAGCCTTTGCCTCACTTTTCAATGTTTACTACTTACATTAAGAATGTCACTGGATGGATCCTGAACTTGAGCTGTGAAATATTGCTTTCCGGGACTTAAAATGAAGATTTTCTGTTGAGATTTTCCCCTCCACACTCACTTCTAGTGGGTAGTGCTTCTTGTCTCCTTTCCTCCATTTCTCTCTCTATTTCTGTCTCTTTCAATTTTTTTATTTTAATTTTTCAACTTTTACTTTTTAAAATTTAAATCTACAGTTATTTTAATTATCTTTTTTCTTCTTTTTATGTTATATTTTCCTCTTCTTTCTTCTTCTCTAATTCTTTTCCTTTTTCTTTATTCATTGATGTCTCAGCTCCTACACACTAAGTGTCTAGACAGGCCCAAGTGAGCAGGATCTAAACATCTGATTATGAGTAGGGTCAGAATATTCCTCTATTCCCACTAATTCTGATGCACAAAGAGTGAAAATGGAACAGGAGGGAGATTGCAAATCACCTCCACCTGCACACCTCTGAATGCTCAGACTGAATTTCAAAAATTAGGGAGAAACGCACCATCCATCAGATGACTAGAAATCACCACAGGATCACAAGAAATATGGGAAAGCAAGACAATACCTCTCCTCCAAGGGAAAAGAATAAATCCTCTCATCCTCAGACAGTACAATGAAACTCATGGAAATATCTGATAAGGATTTTAAAATATTCTTAATGACAAAGCTAATGGAGATGGAAGAGAAGAGAGACAATGAACTGCAGTAGAGGCAGGAGAAAGGAGCCAATGAGTTCCAGGAGGTGAGGAAATTCTTGCAAGATCTAAAAGAGGAAATACACACTTGAAAAAAGAATCAAATGGACCTGTTAGAGAGGAAGGCTATAATACAGGAAGTCAAAACCTCCCTTGAACGTATTAAAAGCAGGCTAGATCATACAGAAAATCAAATCTCAGATGTAGAAGATAGAATCGCTAGCCTAGAAAAATCCACCATGAAGACTGAGAAAATTGTCCAAAAAAATTAGAATAATATATGAGAAATACTAGATACTATCATACATCCAAGCATCTGGATAATTGGTATCTCAGAAGGCAAAGAGACTCAAAAGGGCATTAAAAATCTATTCCATGAAATCCTGGAAGAAAACTTTCCAAACCTAGAGAAGCATTCAAAGATCCAGTCCCAAGAAATACAAAGGACCCCAAATAGAATCAACCCAAGATCTTCTCCAAGACACATTATATCCAGATTGATCAACACCACAGAGACAAGATAACTAAGATTGGCAAGAGAGAAACGTCAAGTTACCTACAATGGATATCCCATCAGGCTAACAAGAGACCTCTCATCAGAAACAGTGCAAGTGAGAATAGAATGAGAAAATATCTTCCATGTGTTAAGGGAAAGGCAATTTCAACCAAGAATACTGTACCTGGGAAGACTATCCTTCATATGGGAAGAAAGACAAGAACATTCTCGGATAAACAAGACCTAAAAGAATTGACCAACACCAGATGAGATCTCCAAGAAGTTCTGCAGGGAGTGCTATAGCAGGAAAATTAAATGCAGTCATGCAGAAATAAGACTTCAAAAACTAAGAAAATGGCCAACTTAATCATGGGGACAAGTCTGGAGTTGGTGTTATATCCCAGAATATTATTGGGAAGACTGGACCACAACAGAAGATAAAGTACGTGAGACTGAACTGGTAAAACAGAATTTTATGACTTAAAACATCACTGACTTTATTTTAGGCTTTGTTTTCTGGCTTTAAGGATTTTTGTCCTGTCTTGAGCTGCCAATAGGTTCATGTACCTACTATTCTAACAAAATCCCAACTTGTTTCCTTACTTTAAGTTTTAAGCATAGTCCCCTAGCATTTCTTTGATTTATTAAAGCTAAAACTGCTTTTCTTGAAATTAAAAAATACAGTAGAAAAGACA